CATCTGGGCAATATCTGTGCAGATTTCTCTATATTATTTCACATATATTAACATTTTAATAAATGTTATTATTTGGGAGGCTAAACTTCCACCTACCAAATATTACTTTTAGCTTTTATTTTGAAAAACGACGACACAGCGGAAGTAAACAGTAATCACGTTACAACCCGGAAGAGCTGCCTTTCTCTGATTAACGTTTGAATTGACAAGAATGAGCTATTTATCTTGAGCAGAAACGATTAAACGCGATGCTGCTAACATCGTACAGCCTTTGATAATCATATCCGTGTCTTAATCTTCGGCGCTGGAGAGACAAAGGCGGTCGAGCGCGAGCAGCAACGCCCTGATGCCAGCCGCCCCGTCGGAGAAAAATACCCTCTCCGCTCTGTTTACAATTCGGCTGGGCGAAAGTGTTTCCCCGCAGTGTGTCGTTAGCTAATCGTGTGTGCTTTTCAGACGAATAGAAAACATGGCTGAACTGCATGTCGTGGAGTCGAGCGGCACTGGCACCATAGAGCAGCCCGAGCAGCACCGCGATGTCCGGGGCTCGGTGCGCCTGGCGTCGCCCACTCTCATGGTTCCTCCGCGGAGCAGCCAGCTCAGCCCCGGCGGGGTGTCGAGCGGCAGCGGCGGACGCTCTGTGTTTGGGTTCCCGGGGAAGAGCAACCCGAGCTCCCCGTCCGAACCGGCGGACAAGCCGGGCTCGCGCTGGGTTCGCCTGAACGTCGGCGGGACCTACTTCGTCACGACCAAACAGACGCTGTGTCGGGACCCCAAATCCTTCCTGTCCCGACTTTGTCAAGAAGACCCCGACCTGGACTCCGACAAAGTGAGCACACACACACAACTTATTGGGCTTAATTGGATTTGTTTATAGTTTTGTTCATTATAAAGCCCAGTAGAACTAAAGCTAGAAGTATCTTTGGATCCTAAAACCGAGATTCACTGTTTCCTTCATGGTATCCGTTTGTCCTAATTGTAATGTCTTCTTGGTGATATGCAGAGGTGAAATATGTACTATTAGCAAATATTAGCAAAACAAAATATAGAAATACTCCTACAGTCAATAAGAGAAGAGTTTGAATACAAATCCTCAAGTTGGGTTCCATTTACTGGGGTGTTGCAATATTTACAAGAAACTCAGTTTACTTTAGACAAAGAAAAGCACCAAAACAAAAGGCAAACACTTGGTAATTGTTAAAAAAATAATTTTAACATCAGTCGATTGGCAAGATATTCATAACAACATACTAATTAATTTGAAAAAGAGAAACACTTTAACAGCTACTGTTGTGACATTGGAAAACAAATGTGTAGGGAGTTAACAATAATATTGATCCGTTATCTTTATTTAGCAATTGAATCAAACATATAATCGGCAATAATGTTATGAAATGTCTTGTTATTGATACAGAAATATCCTTCTTACACTAAAATAGTCGCTCAAAGCGTCTCTTTAACAAATATGTTTTCCTGGACATTATCTGATTCAACATGTGTCCCTTTTCCCATTCCTGCAAAGAGACTACAGTATTTACAAGAAGGAAACCAAATCCCCATCACACATGTCGTCCCTTAATTTGCTCCCTCAGGATGAGACTGGAGCCTACCTGATAGACAGGGACCCCACATACTTCGGCCCCATCCTGAACTACCTTCGCCACGGAAAACTGATCATGGATAAAAACCTGGCTGAGGACGGTAAAATACTTTCATCAGGATTTATTTTGCTCAAACATCATGCAAAATCTTTGTCAGCGAATATTCATTTTGAGTGTATACAAACCACACAATGAAGTCTATTTTTTGTGTCAGGCGTTCTTGAGGAAGCCGAGTTCTACAACATCGCATCACTGGTGAGGCTGGTGAAAGAGAGGATACGGGACAACGAGAACCGAACATCCCAGGTACAGAGAAAACTCCAGTACAAACATAACAAAAATAGCTTTCTTTGATCTGTGTGCAGATTGTTGATGTAGTTCTGTGTGTTTCTGTCCCTCAGGGCCCTGTGAAGCATGTGTACCGAGTACTACAGTGCCAAGAGGAGGAACTCACACAGATGGTCTCTACCATGTCAGACGGTTGGAAGTTTGAGCAGGTGCACAAAATACACATTTATTTTCCCTGTTGTCATGTTTCAGTTCATGCATCAGTTGTTTCAAAGCTACGCTTTGGAGATCAGCCCCGCACATTTATCAAAAAACATATTTTATTATTATTTATTTTTTCATAGGGAAGAGAGTTTATTATATTCAGGCATCTATTTGAGATTTTTTTAATATTTCGTATTATGAATGTATTCAACAGAGCTGATATGTAGGATTACAATTCACATTTTTGGCAATAGTGCCAATATCCTGCAAAAAATATATTGCAAGCATTCTAAACGCGCTCAAATTGGGAATGAAACATGAACATTTTAAATGTGCTTCATATAAGCCTAATGTCTACAAATTAGGCTTATTAATTCAGACAATATATGGTCAGGTTTGTTTGTGATTTGCATTAATAATTGGGTCAATGTGTGGGACCATGAAAGAAGGTCTAATATGGGCCTCTGTTTTGGTTCAAAGACATATTTTGTTATCGTCTTATTCTAAGATATTTATTACTTGAAGATTAATCTTTAGGAAGCCAGTTTAATAATGTTTGGGCAACGTATCAAAGCAAAACAAATTGCCTGTAAATGCCTTTTCGTAGCAATGGTTCAATTATTTACATTTTTGGTAGATTTTCATTTCATCTCAATTAGTTATTTTACCTGGTTAAATAAAGGATATATATATTTAAACAATCCAACATGTAACCCGGGGTCTATAAAACAGAGAAAAGGACAATCATCATGTTTGAAATGCTGAACTCAGAAAGAATAATAATACTAAATGAACATAAATGTCAGTGTTTCCCGGCATTGTCTTCCCAATGCCACCCCCCCAAAGTAAACCTTGGGGAAACACTGAATGTGTACTTCATAATCCTTACTTTGGTCTTTTTGCCTGTCCTCAGCTCATAAGCATCGGCTCCTCTTATAACTACGGCAACGAGGACCAGGCAGAGTTTCTATGTGTAGTTTCCCGGGAACTGAACAACTCCACCAACGGCATCGTCATCGAGCCCACCGAGAAGGCCAAGGTGAGCTGATCACGAGTAGCTACACATGCTAATCTATATTATTGTTTTTGTCAACAACTCCCATTAAAAACAAAATCTACCATAAAAATACTAGCAACATTTTTCTTGCATGGACAGCCTTTTATGAACTGTACTTTCTTTTCACCTCTTAACGTAACAATCTGAGAAGGAGAAAACAAGTTGGGAATGACCTACAAAACCAAATGTGTATTAATCCGCCGCTGAAAGTAGTTTCTAACAAAGGTTTTCTGTTTGAGTGATGTTTTCTGTTAGTGATGTTTTCTGTTTGAGTGATGTTTTCTGTTAGTGATGTTTTCTGTTAGTGATGTTTTCTGTTAGTGATGTTTTCTGTTAGAGTGATGTTTTCTGTTAGTGATGTTTTCTGTTAGAGTGATGTTTTCTGTTAGTAGTTGTTTTCTGTTAGTGATGTTTTCTGTAGAGTGATGTTTTCTGTTAGGTGATGTTTTCTGTTAGTGATGTTTTCTGTTAGAGTGATGTTTTCTGTTAGTGGATGTTTTCTGTTAGATGATGTTTTTCTGTTAGTGATGTTTTCTGGGTTTGAGTGATGTTTTTCTGTTAGTGATGTTTTCTGTTGAGTGAAGTTTCTGTAGTGATGTTTCTGTTAGTGATGTTTTCTGGTTAAGTGTGTTTCTGTTAGAGTGATGTTTTCTGTTAGTGATAGGTGATCGTTAGAGTTGAGATGTTTTCGTTAGCAGTGATGTTTTCTGTTAGTGATTCTGTTAGAGGATGTTTCTTTAGAGTGAACTGTTTTCTTCTTCTTTAGTGATGTTTTCTGTTAGTGATGTTTCGGTTAGGTGAGTTTTTTGTCTAGTGCATTGTTTTCTGTTAAGATGATGTTTTCTGTTAGGGATGTTTTCTGTTAGAGTGATGTTTTCTGGTTAGAGTGAGTTTTCTGTAGTGATGTCTTCTGTTTGACGTGACTGTTTCTGTTAGTGGATGTTTTCTGTTAGTAGTGATGTTTTCTGTTAGTGATGTTTATCTGTTAGTGCATGTTTTCTGTAGTGGATGTTTTTTTGTTAGTGTGTTTTCTGTTAGGGTGATGTTTCTGTTAGTGATGTTTTCTGTTTGAGTGATGTTTTCTGATTAGTGATGTTTTCTGTAGTGATGTTCATTCTATTAGAGTGATGTTTTCTGTTATTGATGGTTTTTCATGTATTTTTGAGGATGTTTTCTGTTAGGATGTCTTTGTCTGTTGAGTGATGTTTTCTTGTTAGAGTGTGTTTTCTGTTAGGTGATGGTTTTCCTGTTAGTGATGTTTTCGGTTTGAGTGGATGGTGTTTCTGGTTAGTGATGTTTTCGGTTTAGAGTGTGGTATTGTTTTCTGGTTAAGTGATGTTTTTGTCTGTTAGTGAGGTGGGGTTAGGATGTGTTCTGTTGAGTGATGTTTTGCTAGTTGTGATTGTTTCTGTTTAGTGATGTTTTCTGTTAGAGTGATGTTTTCTGTAGTGAATGTTTCTGTTGTGATGTTTCTGTTTGAGTTGATGTTTTTGTTAGTGATGTTTCTGTTAGAGTGATGTTTTATGTTAGAGTGATGTTTTCTGTTGAGTGATGTTTTCTGTTAGTGATGTTTTCTGTTTGAGTGATGTTTTCTGTTAGTGATGTTTTCTGTTAGAGTGATGTTTTCTGTTGTTGGATGTGTCTGTGTGTGTAGTGATTTGTTGTGTAGAGTGGGTGTTGCGGGTTGACAGTAGCGTGGTGAGGGTTTTCGTTGAGTGATGTGCGTTGAGAGGGTGGTTGCGGTGTGAGATTGGCGGAGGTGAGTTGTGTTGCGGGTTGGAGTGGAGGTGTGTGGTTGCTGGGGGAATGGTTTTCTGTGGAGTTGATTGTTTTCGTGTGTATGTAGTGAGTTTCTGTAGGAGTTCTGTTAGAGTGATTTTTCGTTGTGATGTTTAGTGATGTTTTTGTTAGTGATGTTTTCTGGTTGAGTGATTTGTGTTCTGTTAGGTGATTGTTGTCTGTTAGATGTTTCGTTGTAGAGTGATGTTTCTGTTAGATGTGATTTGGTTTTTTTTTTCCGCCTTTTTTTCTTAGTATCAATTAATGATTATTTTGAAGCCGTTTGTCGAGATTGCTACCAGTTTAGTTGAGTTATATACTTGAAGCGATGTATCAGAGCCTACTTGTATTTTTGTGGTGATTTATTGACAAAAAAAAACAAAAATTAAAGATCGTTAAAATAGAGGAGTGAATAAGTGATCCTCACTGATTGAGAAACTTAAGCGCTGAAGATTCATATCATGTTTCCTTTATCTATATGTTATGATCCCCCAGCTTTTATGACTCTGAAATTAGGAAATGATCTTTGATTCTACTGACTTTATTTATTTTTCCATCTGCCTCACAGACCTCCCAGGAGCGAGGCTCCGATGTGAGGAGACGAGGCGGCTGAGCTAAATAACACTTTACCAACAAAAAAAGATCAGATAACAAAACATGTCCTCAGTTTTCATTAAAAGACCATGAGTTTGTACCCGCTGACTTCCTTTTNAAATGTTGCACTTTCCCCCTACAAAAACACACAGTGTTTATAAAAAACATCTCCAAGGATGCCTGTTAAATAAGATATATTTGTTATATTTTTAAAATAAATGTTTTTTATAAACACTGTGTGTTTTTGTAGGGGGAAAGTGCAACATTTTGGTGCAGGGCATCTGGGCAATATCTGTGCAGATTTCTCTATATTATNTATCGTCCGCCACAAATGGATCTCATAAAAAAAAAATTGTTTTATTATTATTATACTTTTCTCTTAATCTTTTTTTTTTTTTTGGTGGTCTAATGGATAGTGAGGTGGGCTGATGATCGGAAGGTTGCGCTATCCATTAGACCACCAAAAAAAAAAAAAAGATTAAGAGAAAAGTATAATAATAATAAAACAATTTTTTTTTTATGAGATCCATTTGTGGCGGACGATATTTAATTATCAATGTATGGGAAACACTGAGGTATACAGAAATGAAGAACAAAGAAACTACAGTGGATTTAACCGGTTAATGTGCTATCTTTTATTTCAAGAGTTTACAGACAAGTTGTAGCCATCAAAGAAATACAAATGTTAAGTCAGAAAAGCAAGTTTTAGAAGCTAGTTTAATTTAATGACTGAAGTCAATTCATAAAGAATTGAATCCCAAATCTATGATTATTTATATTTCCCGGGTTATTGACACAGCTCTGCTTTCTGCTCCATCCTCCCCTTAGCCTCAGTTCAGGTGAGCTCCTCGTCCTCTGCATCCAAACCCCTGGCAGCACCGCATGAGAGCAGCAACAGCAGCAGTCAAACACCAGCTACCACTAAGTCCAGGCCCAGTGCAAAACCCCTCCCTCCACCCAGGAGAAGGCCGCCTCCACCTCCCCGCTCTCCTTTCCACTTGGTAAGCAAGCTGTACCCGTGATGTTGATCATCAACAGACATCAGAGAAAATATCTTGGCACAGTTAAATTCTGCCATATTTAAGGGTATCTGTCTCATAACAAAAATAATTAATGAGAATATTTTTTTGTAGTAACAGTATTGCTAGAAACCACATTTTAATCATGTAAAGACAAACAAGTCCACTGCGAAACTGCACAAAACAAGGCCCCCTTAATATAGATTCATAAAATAAAATGTTCTGTTTGTTTATGATTTCATGAAATAACTACTGTGTTGAGGTCCCGGAAAATACATACAAAATATTTCCTAATTATCATTTATCAATCGACTTTATTTATTACTTTGTATGCACTCAGATGAATAGATTGGGATAACTAAATATGTTCTTAATTAATGTATGAGGGATACATAGAATGACACCAGGTTATATGCAAAAAAGTGGGGCACTTTGTTTGGCATTAGTTTGAGTTTTAGATTTGTAAATGTAGTTCAATGGTGTTTACACATTTCCTGTGAATTTACCTCATTGATAAAAAAAATAAGATAATTAACACTAACTTTTTAAGCTGAAACACGTTATTGCAGATTTATCATCTTGTTTTACCTGCTAAAATGTACTCTCCTACTCCACAGGCATGGATGGCAGACAGCCAGAAACAGCAGCGTGACAGCCGACTGGACTTCATCATTAGAGTGAACGAGAACCGCTGTGCAGCGAAGCCCATGTATGGCCGGGAGGTTCTGAACTTCCTGACTTTTCTCCCTGGAAGCCATCCCTCGCCGGCCCCCCTGAGCGCTCGGGGGGAGTGGGGCCGCTCGGGTCACAGCAGCGCTCTGTACGCTCAGTGGCAAAACAAATCTGACTTCTGGTTCCAGAGTCAAGCTGTGAGAGAGGCCATCCACAGCATTGATGACAGACTGGAGCTGCTCAATCCCATTATAGACAGGTAGATGACTGATGGGAATTATGGCATGAAACTTTTCTGGGGAACAAAGAGGAACAATTTGTGACTTAACTGTTGTTTATTTTGCCCAATTAGGTTTACATTTGCGATTCCCCCAGTGGAGGCTCGTCCGATCTCCATGCACTGCTGCCACCCTCCACCCTCCCTGAGCCACAAGCAAGCCGTCTTCTCCACTCAGCTGTCAGCTCAAGTTACTCCGCTGGCTCGCAGTCTCCATCGTATCCAGTGTTACACACGGACCCAGTTCCCGGACCTGAGGCTCATACAGTATGATTGCGGTAAGGTGGCATTTTGCTCTTTTTTTTTGAGAGAATCGGAGCTGTGTAGTGAGTTTGTTTCGACCTAATGTGATAGCATTTTATTATTTAACTGCAAACATAGACTGCATACAGCAATACAACTAATGGGAAAAAAAGAAAATGTGGTCGTAGACGTCAACGACCACATTTCCATGCACCATTATATAGAAAGCATAGTAGGCACATTCATTATAACTAATAATAAACCTATAAACTATCTTAATGTAATCTTAACTTACTGGCATCAAAGTAACAAACCATTGCATTTCCTTAGTCTTCACCAGTACACCAGAGAGACATATTTATCTGGCATATAAAGCAGTTGCTATTGACGATCTACTATTGGTGACTGTTTGCTTTCCTACATAACTCTATTGCAGGGCTATTCAATTACACATTCAGTTGGGCCAGATTTTATAACTACAAAATTCAGCTGGGCCAGACATTCAGCGGCCTGTAAAAAGCGGGTAGTGACACATTTTAAACCAACACATATTACTGCGATGAAAAACATGCAATTTTTATTCATTGTTCATCTAACAAAGGTAGGTCAAAAAGTGCATAAAAACACAACAAATTAGCATTAATTTAACAGAATCTGAAAAAAAAAAAGTGCACAGTTGTAGCATTACATTTGTTTGCTTTAGAAGTCAAATATTCAGGTTTTTTTTTTTAACCAGGCACATCACAAAGTGCATTTACTGAATACAATAATAGCAGTCTTAATAAATGTCCTCACATACAACAAAAACAGCTAAAGAGCTCCAATGCAACACAAAGAGGTAGTACTGTAGCAATACTATTTTTTACACTTTTTCACTGAGACTGCCAAGGCACAAAAATCACACGTTTTGGTCACATTTGACCGAGACACATTACAAAGTGCATTTAAATGAATACAGAAAGAACTGTCAAACCCTTCAGTGCACAAACCCATAACAAAGGATACGGGTAACTATATGAATGAATACTACACTACACGTCTACTATAGTAAACTAGGTGCTTACTATCACCTCATTTGTGATTTGTCATCGCTGACTTTCTAAATGGGAGAAGTGAAATTTTTTGTTGTGAACAAGAGCAGTGATTTTTGGCTCATAGGATGACAATGCAATCCTAAGACATTGGTGAAGAGTGTTGTCAGTCAGGGAGCAGCGAGTGCTACTTTTGATTGAGTTCATGTGTGAAAAGCTTGATTCACATGTGTATGTTGATCCAAACATACTGAGCACACAGATCGCTACTTTCTGAACGTTAGGGAACTGCTGTTTTTTGACATCACTCCAAAACTTCGCTGGCCCGTTAGTGCGCTGCATGTCAATAAGTTCCAGTGTATATTTCCCCTTGTCGATGCAGGGGACCACTTCCTTTGCTCTGGTTGATACGTCCCCCTCTATTGCAACAGTGAAGGGGTCTCTGGCAAAGCCCATCATCACCTCTGTGGGCAGAGCAAGTCCATCCAATCGACCGGCAAAGTTCTCTTTCAACCTCGCAATGAAATCTGTCATCACATCCGTGATTTGTGCCGGAGATGTGATGTGTTTGGGGAGCGTCGGAAAATGCAGCATCCGACCCGTGCTCAAGTCGGTTGCGAAAAGGTCCAGCTTGACTTGGATCTGCTCCACAAGATCAATGACTGTTTTGTCTCTGTTTACGCTTCAGAGTTGAGAGAGACATGTTTTAGAGTTGCTATCATAGGACCACCGTTACTAGCACCACTAGATGCACTTTCAAAAAACGTGCTGCGTTGTGTTTTGGTGGTTTCTATGCAACGCGGAGTGTTACGTTCATGGTCTGTACTAGTGTAGGAATTTGGCTACGGGAGGCTGGGCCACTCGGGAGTTGGTTCTGGGCCGCATCTGGCCCGCGGGCCGCCAGTTGAATAGGCCTGATTTAGACATGTACAGATTTACATTAAGCCTGTGTGAAAAAGCTTGGCCCGTGGCAAGCCACAAATTGAGTTGAACATTGCCATCAGTTATATCTGGTCGGTGTTTCCCACACATAAGCTTTACTTTACCAAAATCATTTCAGGACAGTTGCAGTTTCTTGACACCAGTTTGTAAACTTGAGCATTCAGCC